CCCCAAAACCCCAAAACCCCAAAACCCCGCCTGAATGACCATTTATTGAAAATTAATGAAATTTTGAGAAGATTATTATATTAAGGTGTTTAAAATAACATGCTAGTGTTTATTGTTGACACTTAATGACGCACAAGATCGCAATAATATTTAAGTAAATTCTTATGAGCTCCTCCAGTAAGAAAATTTACCTAACTTCTTCTAATCGTCCAGGATTCAGAAAAGTAAGTGTTTAATGTAAAATTATTTCAAATATAGGAACTTATCCATGGTCTTAACAAATTCACGAAGGGAGACATCAAAGAGGTTACCAGAGACAGCCAGATAGAAGCAGTAATTGAGGAAAAGAAAGACAGCGAAATGCTATTAAAGTTTGATGTCAGATATAGACCATTCTTTTGACTTTGATTTTATAATTATTTATCTGACGAACTTCAGGTAAGATTATTTCTTTCGTATTAAACAGGCATTTCTAGTGCTATTTGACACTGTACAGTCTTGGACAAGCTAATTCAGTTTAGATTGAGGATCACAGAGATAACTTCATGAAAAAGTATATTAACATAAATGGTAGACACTCTGTTTTCACTCCTGAAAAATTTAAGATCTTCATTAGTGAGACTATTCAATTGAAACTAGATGTGGTTGATTCTACTTCAGCTTCTAGTTCAGAGCAATGTCAGCTAAACTCACCACATAAGGAGGATTTTAGTGATGTTGAGAATCCAAAAATGAAATCTACTCGTGATAGCTCATGCTCAGATTTGAAGGAGAAAATTTGTGGTAAAGAAAAGAATGGGGAAACTTTGAAAAATCCGATTCTATTGATTAGTGATACTGAGGAGCGCACTCACAAAAGTTGAGATGACTCCTTTGGATCTCCTGATCAAACGATAGTTGTAGTTGATGATGAACCGCCACGAAAACTACAAAGAAATTTTCCAAGGCATTCACCTCGGAAAACCCGCTCTTATTATGCTAAGAATGGACATTTGTTCCGTCCTGAAGGGTCAAGCTTTGCTTTACCTGAGAGCAATGGAATTGTGCTTCAGCCAGAGAATCCAATTTTAAAAGTGACAAAGGAATGATGAATCTGTTTGGATCTTCCCAAGACGAAGAAATGAAAGCCATCAATTTGTGATCACCTGTTCTGTCTTCCTTGCTTACAGAATTGGTGTAAGAGGACCAACTCATGTCCTTTATGAAAAATAAAGTTTACTGAAATCATCATTCTTACTGACCAAGGAGCAGAAGAAGGCAGAGAGAAAGTCGAAGAGAGGATCATATCTGATGAATCTGAGTATTTTATCCAAGCAGAAGAGTACTGATACGTATGCAACAGGAATGATTCTCAAGAATCCTTATTAGTATGCGACTGCTGTGATATTAAAGTTTGTCACACCTATTGTGATAATCTTGACGCGATTCCTGAAACTCACTGGTTCTGCTCTCAGTGAAGACTCTTACCAGAAGAGGAAAGAGTTCAAAGACTAATTGACTATGAATACTCTTCTGACAATGTAGATGAGGAAGAACCTTCTTTAGATCAAGAAGATGATATTCCTAGTGAAAATGATGAGGAATATGACCCAAACAACGATACGATTAACAGCTCCTTCATCTCAAGAGAAAGGAACCAATTTAGTGTCAGACATGCTGGTCTTTTTGATGAAAATTCTGTTTTCAGAGATAATGACATGACTTCTACATCTTGGCAAAGAGATGAGTATAAACCTCCCAGATCTCTACGAAACCATTTCGGCTCTAAGAATAGTGTTAATATGAATGAAGCTGAAAACATGGACCAAGGGTACAGACGTTCTTTAAGGAAAAGAGATGACAAGGCTAGGGTAAAATGCATAGAATTCTCAGATTCAGAACAGACTTATGCAAGCCAACCCATCCAGTCTTTGCAGGTTAATAAAGAAGAAAATTGAGACAGGATCCTCACAAGATCGGAATCCAGAAAATTATTGGAAGAAAAGAAGAATCGAGGAGTTTCTGAAGATAAGGAATTAGACTCTGATAGTAACCAGGATTTAGCAGGAAGATCAACAAGGTCCAGCACAAAGAAAACAAATATGTTGGTAAAGAATATCCAAGAGGATTATTCACAGGATTCAGATGATGAAAGCGACCGTGAGTATAACCTTGATGTTTCTGAAGAAGTTAAAGTCAATGAATGAGATAAAAATAACGGGAACCAGATACAGAAAATTGACTTAAACTGCCCATTAGAGATCATCCCTGAAGAGAGCTATAATTCGCAGGATACTTCCAATTGCTACAAAGACCTGACGGGAAACAATGAAGAAGAAAACTCCGTATCACAACCTGAAGAAAATGCGAAAGAAGAATCAAATCATGAGAAAACAGAGCCTAAAAGTATGAATAAGACCAATAAAGACAGCAAGAATATGAGTGTGAAATCCTTCTCAGTAATATCTGAGACGAAGTCTGATGGTATGGGAAACTCAGTAACATGAGAAAAGGATGAAAGCAGTCTTATTATTATTGCACCAAAGAGTTTCACGCAGAAAAGAAAGGAAGTCTCCCAACGTCCATATTCAATTTCGACACAGAAGAGAAGAATCTCTGAATCTCAATGAGAAGACAGTGATTTTGAGATACCTCTTCAGGATAGCAGTTATGATACTGAAATTACCTTAACAATGTTCAGTAATGCAGATGAAATAATGATACTCGATTCTGATGAAGAGAGCATCAGACCAAGAAGATCTGCTAGGATTAAGGAGAGTAAGACAAAGAAAAACTACAGTGACAAAATTAGTAATGTTGTAGTAGGCAACTTCAGGGAGAAATTTAACCCCAGAGGGAGGCTTACCAGAAATGCGACAAAAGGAGTAAATTATAGTAAACAGATTTGCTAATCCTAGAAATTCAAGACACTCATTATTCACATAATTCTATATATCTTCAGAAAAATGTCTTAACTAGATTATTTCAATTAAGTTTCTTTGAGGTGGGGTTTTGGGGTTTTGGGGTTTTGGGGTTTTGGGG